CAGAGGAAAAAGAAGATGCTGCCTGTCAGCCCTGCTTTTGGGTCAGAATAGCTCTGGGTAGGACTTGGTGGGGACCTGCAGCCTCTCGGAGATGTGGCTGTCCCGTTCCTCAGTGCCTCCTGGCACAGGTTGCTCTCCGCATCAGGGAGGCAAGTGCAACCTTTCCATCTGCTTGGGTGAGTAAGAGCTCTTCTGCTGCCACAAGCTCTTTTGGAGTGCAGATTTCAGTGAGAGCGCTGGCAAAGGCAGCCAAAGTGTGCTGGAGTCGGGAGACTGGACTTTGGGCACTGGGGCGAGTTCTGGAGGCAGGAAGGCTCCAGCCAGGCATGTCCTTGAGAGCTCTGTCTGTGGCGAGGTGAAGTAAACAAGAAGAAAAGAGGCTTTTTGCAGCCATTGGCATGATTCCTGGCTCTGCAGGAAATCCCACGGCGCCCTTTCGGCCTGACCTACGCCGAACAGACGTATTTAGCGCAAGGCCGTGGGTCATTGCTTGCCAGCAGCTGGTACAAAACACTCGGGGGGGGGGGAGGGGTGGAGGAAGCTGCATTATCTACTCCTTTGGCATTGCAGATTTTGTTTTAAAGCAATAAATCTTACGCTTTGGGTGACACAGGTGGCTTTGCCGGTGTAGCTTTGCAGTGCCGCTGTCTTCTGCTGCTCGGTTGTTGCCAAGGTTGGACAGGAGTAGCCTGGGTTGTGCTGGAGCTGCAAGGAAAGGGGTGGCTGTGCCTTGCTCTGCTTTTGAGTGTTGTGACAAGCAGCCATGATGCTACTGAGCTCTGCCGGGAGGGGAAGAAACAGAGCAGGCAGCGTGAAGCGAGATGTCTTTGCAGCAGAAGACCAGGGTCTTGCATAAAACACCACCATGCTTCCCAGGGGAGCACCACCACCAGGTCTGGCTGCCTGTCCTGCCTGCCCTGGAGCTTGGACCTGTGGCAAGGAGCTCTGCAGCTGCATGTGGTTACCCATGTTTGTAAACCTGGCTCCGAATGGGGAAATCCTTTATTTTCCTTGTGAGCAGCCTCATCGGCAGCAGGTTGTTTTGTGAAGACTCTGCGGGAGGTGGGTTTCTCAGGCGAGGGTGGGATTTCTGGCTGGAGGACATCTGTAACATCTGCTGCGTTTCAGATGAGGCTCTTGCCTTTCCCACCCTCTCTCTGCAGCTGGCCAGGCTGGGAAGAAAAATGCTTCAACTGGAGGTTCAGACCTTTCCCTTTGAGACCTGAGCCTTGCAATGCCTGCTTTCCTCTTCTTTTATTATTCCCAACCCAGTGGGCTGCAGTGCCCAGAAAGTCTCCTTATTATTGCTTCCTCCTAAAGCCAGCTCTGCTTTTGCTTCCCTGCAAATGAAACCAGTCCAGCAACCCAGGAATGTTTGTCCCTGGTCTGGGGAGCTGATGAAGCTTGGGAGAGAACAAAAAAAACAGGCTAGGGGCTGTGGCATTTTGCCGATTTCCGGTAAAATGATCAAACAAAAAAAAGCATCCCTCGATAGTGTCTTATCTGAGTGGCTTTTGTTTTGAGGAGGAGGGATGCTGGAGGCCCGGCAGCCTCCATCATGAGAAAATGATGCTGGCAGCCTGCAGGGATTTGCTTTCCCCTCGTGCGCTCCTGGCAGGGAGGAGACTTCCTGGGAATGTTGCACGCCAGGGTAAGGAAAACCCCATTCTCCTAAGGGCTGGGGCGAGCACCCACCATGGGTCACGGGATGGGAGTTGATGTCCTGCCAAGCCCACTGCTTCGGGAGGCTGGTCTCCACCCTGGGGCTCGCTGCCGAAAGCAAACCTCCAGCGGTGCCAGCCCACTCGCTGCGCAGGGTTCCCATCCTCCGCCTTTGTCTCTTCAGCTGTTTGGGAATTTTAAAGCAGGAATCGTTTCCTTCTGCCACTTCTGCAGGGCTGGTGCAGCGATGGCTGTGGTGCTGGTGGCTGTGGCGGTGATGCACATCTTCCGAGGTGACAGCAGGGAACAGCCTGCCCACGGTTACATGGTGCCAGCTTGCTCCCAAGCTGCAGCGCAGCTATTTGAATACCACCCTGCTTTTGTCTTTGCTTGGGAGTCTCCCCTGCCTGCTTGCTCTCTCGTTCTCTCCTTTTGCTGAGTTGTCACAAAAATTTACTACCTAAAGGTCTCGGTGCTCCACTTGCAGCCGGCAACACCCACGGGCGACCGTGGCGTCTGGCAGCCTCTGCTGGCAGGTGGGCACCGAGGCGATGAGCTATAGGCAGCCATGGTCTGTGGCTGGCCCTCAACCCCCGTGGCTGTGAAATACCATCAGATTAGCTTAGAAACTGTTGACTGGCAAAAAGAGAAGTGTTTTCTGGTGTTTCAGTGGTTTCTTCTGGAGTTTGTGGTAGTCTGGGTTTTTTTGCGTGTCTAACCATTGTTAGGAGCTGGTCGGTAGTCCTCTCTCTCTTCCCCTGGTGTTTTTATTGAAACATGAGATTTTTCACAACAAATGTCACCTTTCAGAACTCTGAAGGACAAAAAAAAAAAAAACCAAACAAACAAAAAAAAAACCCACCAAAACAAACCAGGACTGGGAACAGTGACCTGGTCCAAGGCCCTATCCCAGCTCAGTCGCAGCAGCTCCTTGCAGAAATGGGGCTATTCCTCCACCCCAGGCAAACCCACGCTGACCCTGTTGATGGGCTTGGATGCTGTGGAAACCCTCCCCTCTTGCTGGGTGTTGTTTGCTGGTGAATTTGTGGCTGGCCTGTGTTTGTCAGCTGGAGATAGTTCAGTTCCTCTCCCCAGCTGCTGTTTCAAAACAACTCCTGTGGCCCCGCTGCTGCAATCTCCCTGGTAGGGTGCAGACCTTGGGTAGAAAAATACTTGATAAAACCTTGAGAACTGGGAATAGCAGAGGCTTTCGGTGGCTCCATCCAGCTGGAAGAATATGGGGTCGCCGTGAGGGAGCTCTGCTGATTGGCAAGGTGGTCAGTGCAGCTGGCTCGGGTTTGAGTGTTCCGGGCAGGGGCAGGGGACCTCCCGCTCTGCTGTGGGGCAAGGCAGAAAACCTCCTGGTTTGGGGTCTGGAGTGCAAGAAAGTGGGGGCTGGTATTTCAGGCTGCTGCAAAGCCACACAAGGAAAGGATGCCATGTGAGAGGGCAGCTTGTCCCCACCTTCCCCAACCCACACCTGGGTTTGTCCTGGTGGAGATGTCCTGCAAGATGCTCACTGCAGGATCAGTGAGCATGCTCATCTAACCAACCGGCTCCTCCCAGAGCCCCGGGTTTGGGATCTGGAGCAGCATGTGGTGACCAGACACCAGTGAGAAACAGGCTCAGGTCCCCAGCCTGCCTGTGACGCTGTCCCTGTCCTCTGCCAGGCTGGCCAGGCAGGTATTGTGGCCCCAGGTGACAGCATTTCCCTGTGGTGGAGGTGCCATCGGGTCCCTGGGCCACGTGTGTGCTGCCGCGCTGGGCTCTGCCCACTGGTGGGTCTGCTCCGGGATCTTTCCCCATCGCGTGATGTGGGGCTAGGGGGGGATTTTGTACTGGCCGTGACGATGCTGCCCGTCACAGGGACCCACAGCACGGAAACTGTCCTGGTTCTTCTGCAGCTTCCTGTCAGCTGCTGTGGGCTCCAGAAATAGCCGCTGCTGAGCCTGCCCCGAGCCGCAGCTGG